CACGTCCGTCCCGGGTGCAGGCACCGCCCCCTTCCTGCTTAGCTCCGTTGGACGTTCTTAAAGGGGCCGAAACCTCCCGGCCACTTGGGGCAGGGGATGGGGGCTTGGGGCTGGATCCCGAATGCGCGTTAGCGCCTGGCAACGTGCAGGCTCCGGTCTGAACTTCTTCCGGCTCATCTGCAAAGTGAGGGTAAACACCCCCAGCCACGCACTCTCACCTTGGGGCTTTGGGATGACAGCCCGCAATGGTGTTTCCTTGAGCTCAGGCCTGACGGCCAGGGCAGCTCTGAGACTGTTGGACAACCCACCCTGAAGCCCTAGTGCAAAAGTGGACCCCAGGCCCCGAGGGTAGCGATATGCCCAAGGGCACACAGAGTTCCCGGAAGATTGCCTGGTGCATACAGGAGGCGCTCAATAACGTTTAGGTGTGCGAGTGAGCGAATAGAGCCACGGGGAGGAGTCCCTGTTTCCTGCACCCTCTGCTACAGGGTGATAAGTTGCCAGTAGGTGATAAGGTGCCTGCGGCCCCAGGAGAAGGTGGCATCCTCGATTAGACGGGTTTTTATGAATCTTGTTTTGAAACATGGGGCATTTACTCCTCCCTCGCTCTGTTTTATTTCCTTTCCAGCAGCTACTCCCTTCCAGAATGACCTTATCATTGTTTTGCTTTGGGCTTCCCAACACACACACACTGTGCTCCTTCCTGGCAGGGATTTTTTCCTGTTTGCACCCAGAACCTCCTTAAATGATGCCTGGCACCTATGGGAGCTCAATGAATGAATGAGTCAGACACTGGCTTTTGGAAGTAGCTGATACTGTAGGAGGTAACTGGCTTTTGGAGGTAACTTACTTCTCAGAACGGAACTCCAAGGTTGCTTCCTACAGGAAGTCCTTCCTGACCTCCCCAAGGTAAAGCCAGGTGCCCCATTTGGCTGTCCTGGCTCTGGTTTACTTGTATCTGTGCCATCATTTGATTTACCTCTGCCTCACCCACTAGACCCCCAAAGTTTGGGAAGGCTCTGTTATTTCTCATTGTTGTAGCCCTGAAACCTGCATAGTGTCTGGCACAAAAGGTAAGAGGGGGGCCGGCCTGTGGCTCACTTGGGAGAGTGTGGTGCTGATAACACCAAGGCCACAGGTTCGGATCCCTATATAGGGATGACCGACCGGTTCGCTCACTGGCTGAGTGTGGTGCTGACAACACCAAGACAAGGGTTAAGATCCCCTTTCCGGTCATCTTTAAAAAAAAAAAAGGTAAGAGGGACTCAGGGATATCATTGTGGAAGAAAGGAAGGCAGGCTGGCCAGCCAGATGAGGGGGTTGGGGCAGCAGAGATATGTGAGAAATCACCCAGAAAGGGAAATAAACCCTGGGCCACTCCCAGTTCTTGGACTATTCTCTATCCATCTGTGAACACTAGTGTGTTTGTTTGTTTGTTTGTTTATCAGGTGGCCAGTAGAGGGATCTGAACCCTTGACTATGATGTTATAACACCACTCTCCAACCAACTGAGTAACTAGCTAGGTGTGGTTAGTGTTTTAAAGACTCCATCCTTTTCTACCTTTCTGTATCCTTATATTGTACATGTGTCTCTTGAAAGCAGCATAGAATTGGGTTTTGCTTTTTGATCCAGTCTGCTCATCTTTGTCTTTTAACTGGAGCATGTGGTCTATTTATATTTAATGTAATTATGGACATATTTGGACATAAATCTGCCTTCTTATGTGTTCTTTTCTCTCCTTTCTTGCCTTCTTTAGGATTGGATGGGTGTGTTTGGTAACACTCATTATCTTCATTTCATAGACAGAAAAACTGAGGCACAGAGAGGTTAATTACTTTGTTCAAGGTCACAGCAATGAAGGGCAAGATGGGCCAGTTCCCTTCCCCCACTGAGTTTCTATTCCAGCCAGGAGAGCTGGATATTGCACAACAACAATGCAAATAACTATATAATTGCAGCTGTCATGAGTGCTATGTAAGAAATGGAACTGAAAAAGGTGACAGAGAAAAGCTTCTAGTTCCCAAATTTGCCTCCCGCCAATCCCCGTCACTGGACAGACTGAATGTTCCTATCACTTCCTATCCTCTCCCTTGAACACACAAAGGAGGAAAACATTTTCTCATCTCCAGTCCACTGTGTACGAAACATTTGGGCCAGCCAAGTCCCTTTTGGCTTTGATATGCAACCCCCACCCCTTCCAGGACCCTCATAAATGTTTCCTGGCCTTCACAGAGCCCAAGAGATCCATTGAAAACCTTAGTTTCTCCAGCCTGGGCCTCTTCTGCTGCAGCCTGCAGATAGAGCCATGGTTGTAGTTCTCCCAGCAGCCACCATCCCAGCTCCCCTCTCTCAGCCCTGGCTGCTGCCTAGCTACCTGAGCTCCCCCATTCTTACCAAGACCATGTCCACACTATGTGCTTTCCCATCATCCTGTGTTTTCCCCTGCAATTTCCTCAGTCCCTCAGTCTGCATCTAGAAAACTCCTAATCCCACCTCAAAACCCCATCCAGATGTACCCACCTCTTTAACAACCTTCTTTGCCCCCAAAATGAGCCTTTACACTCCACTTCCCAGATTCCTTCAGACTTGTGTCCCTCCCCCCTCTTTCCAAGCACTGATCCCCATGGGGCTGAAGTGTATGTTTCTGACTCTGTCTCTCTTCCTCCTCCAGGGCTAGGCAGGAATTGAGTACTCTCTGAATCCCCTGAACATGGGCCACACCCAGTGGGCAGTGAAAAATTTTAATTTTTATTTATTTATTTTTGGGTGGCTGGCCAGTAAAGGGATCAAAACGAGTGAACAATTTTTAAAACTGTCAAATATATAAGAATCCTGGTCCTCATTTACTTATCTGTGAATGAAAGCAGCAGAGGTGGGAGTAATATTACTTACAGTTTACTGAGGGTTTACTGTGTTGTAAGGATTTCACCTGCATGATTTCATAAGGTTAAGCCACTTGCTCAAGGCCATCCAGCTAGGATGTAATGGAGTTGGTATCAAAACTTAGATATGGGCCAGCCCGGTGGCGCACTCGGTAGAGTGTGGCGCTTGGGAGTGCGGCGGCGCTCCCGCCGAGGGTTCGGATCCCATATAGAGACTGGTCCACTCGCTGGTTGAGCGCCGTGCGGGCGCGACACCAAGGGTTGCGATCCCGTTACCGGTCACGAAAAAATACAAAAAGAAAAAAACAAAAACAAAAACAAAACATTAGGGGGCTGGCCCGTGGCTCACTCGGGAGAGTGTGGTGCTGATGGCACCAAGGCCCCGGGTTCGGATCCCATGTAGGGATGGCCGGTTCGCTCACTGGCTGAGCGTGGTGCTGACAACACCAAGTCAAGGGTTGGTATCCCCTTACCAGTCATCTTTAAAAACAAACAAACAAACAAAAAAAAAAAACTTAGATATGTCCAATCCCAGGGCTCTTTAACAGTCTTCCATGTGCCCA